GATTGCATACAGCATGGTTGTCACCGTTTTCCCCTTTTAAGTTGCATTAGCGAAATAAATGAACTTTGCACGATATTCTAATTATTCGAGTTTCACCTGTGTGTGTATATATATATATGTTTAAAGTTTTCACCCTTTGGGAGAGCAAAAATCCTTAAGAGTTGTAAACCCTTGTGATCAGTGTTCAATATAAACATAACATACACATAAATCATACAATGTGTGCTGTATAGAAATTACGGCGGTCCCATCATTTGTCTAACTACCTCTGACCCATGTGTATTTCGTAGTGGCCCTGGTAATAAGCTCTCAAATGATGGGCACTGTGATGTGTTTGTTGACATCCACATTTTTGGGATGGAAAGTGAATGTGACAACTTCATCCTAGTTTTAATACTGGGAGTTATTTAGATTCATCAGAATGGTAAACTGATCAGTTTATACACTTTAGGTTAGCACCAGTAGGAAGCATTTAATATCTGTATCACACCCTTTTTTTTTCCGATTAAGTTGAAATTTTGATCTACTGTATTTGAGAGTATTTTCCATTCATTTTCAAATCACTGACTTTTTACTGCTTTATTGTTGGTTTTTCCACATAATAAACAATCATATATTCAATAATTTTTGAAACATTTACACTTGAAAACAATTGTTCAACACAACAAAGAGAAAGATCAATTTGGAATAGATTTTTTGCCAAAATGGTCCCCCTTTTATGTGCAAACAATTACAGATACAATACTTTATTGTAAAGATTGTTTAATAGAATGATTGTATGTTTGTGTAAACAGCAAGCCTGTTTTCTGCCACTCCATTCATTTAAAATATAACAAATGGGGACTGGTTATTGAATATCTCAGCACTGAGGGTGGTATTTGGTTTGGGTTTTTGTACATGTGTAATCATATTGTAAATAACATCTTACATACTGTATATGCCTATTATTACTTCCATTGGCTGAAATGTGGTATATAAATGGACCTGTTATTCAGAAAGTCCTTATGTATTTGTGCCTTATGAATAACAGTCAGACCCTTAGTACATCCATTTTTCAAATTACACATAAATCCACTGGACAGTCATGTCATGTGACAAATGAAGATACACCAATTACCAAGATATTTAATACTTTTTCTGAAATAAATAAATGAAATTTTCAGTGATCTAATCCAGACCCTGAGACCCCCTGCACATGTAGTTTGATTGATTTGTTTCCGTAAATAGGAGCGTCACTCAGCTGCATATGAATAGTTTAAATTGTTGAACAGTCTGATCAATCAGATCAATCATTTTTGACATGATGGTTTGAATGCCAGATTTATGGTCACTTTATTCTGCTGCTAAGATGTGGCATATTTTTGGTGTTATCAGTGTGATAGTAATGCTTTCATAAAAAATTATTCTTTAGGCCATGTACATTTTTGGGTTAAAATGTATGTGCACTTGTATCCTTTTAGCTCCCCTTGCCTGATCAAACCTACCCCCAACCTGCCTTCCCTTTTGGACCGCCTGTGCATTACAGCCCCATAGACTTCTTATGGAGCCATGTCCGGAGCATCTCCCAACTCAAGATTTCTGGCAGGAGTAATATTTTTGGGGTTTTTTTTGCACTTATCGAACAGATATAACAAAATGTAATTGTGTCAATTGTATATTTAATAGACCAAAAGGGAATTTTAGTGTTAAGAGTTTACATACACTTTAAAGTACATGAGTAATGAGAGAATTACTGAGGCAACATTTCTAGTCTGCCTCTGAAAATTTTAATTTCCTAGCTGTGTCTAGCTTCAAAACTTTTAAGTCAAGGGGTCCAAAACAAGTCTATTGTAAAGAAATGTCAGAATTCTATATCTATATATTTGTTCCAAGTAAGTGGTTAGAAAAGCATTGAAGCCAAAGTGTCAGTCTCACAACCTGGGAACTAGCATTCCCAATAGGAGAGGTCAGCAAAACCAACTTACATCATTTTATCATAAGTGTACTTGAAGAATTAGAGAGTAAACTAACGTGATCGTGTCAGGTTTGAAAGAAATCAAGAATAATGTTGCCTTCAACAGAAGTCTATTTATACTTCCGCCTTCTCTCCATTCCAGTGCTGCAGCCTCTGTAAGGCCTCTTCAGCAAACAACACTTTTGAGAGTGTTGGATGCCTGTGTACCGTACCCTACCATGAGCCTTTGTTTTATCCTCCAGCCCCAATGCCACTGCTGTGTCCTGTAGTAATGTAGGGGTCAGAGGATGGAACCAAGGTGCACAGCAGAAGACACCAGCATCTGACACTTCTAGAAGTGTTGAATGCTAAAAAGTAGAGGTGCACCAAAATGAAAATGTTAAAACCGAAAAACTAAAATGAAAAAAGGTCAAGCCGAAACTGAATTTTTTTTTTCTGGGCTTGTTCACACCGAATGCGGCGCATTCCAGAGTGGTAGCTGCTGGAACGCACCGCAATGCCTCACAAAATCTCCCCCTGCGTTCTGGGGCGGGAGGAGGCGTAGCTGTGTATTGAATTTAATGGCACCGCTTTCAGGCACCCCCCCCTGCAGTGCGATCGGACGCGTGGCTAAACTTTGCTTGCGTTCCGTTCCATTGCAAATGCAAAAAATGCAGCTTGCTCTATTTTTTGCGTTTGCAGTGGAACAGAACGCATGCAAAGTTTTGCGACATGTCCAATCATACTGTGGGCAGGGGGGAGGCATCACTGAATTCAATGAATCACCACGCCCCCTCCCGCCCCAAAATGCAGGGGAAAGTTTTGTGAGGGATTGCGTGTGCGAACAAGCCCTCAAACTTTTTAAATTTTTTATAAACTTTGAATTTTTAAATATTTTTATTAAATTATTTATTAAATATTCTTATTTTTTTACTTTACTGTTGGGGGGTCTGGCAAATATCAGGGGTCTACAAAGACCCCTAATATTTCCCTTTTAAAATAGAAAAAGAGATTGAGGACACAGAGTCCTCAATCTCTTTTTCTGAAGCCCTAGCTATAAATGAACAGAAATTCTCTGTATTGAGTGTTCCTGTTCATCCATAAGCTGTGGAGATAGTATGTTTACCATGTCCACAATCATGAATGAACAGGAAGTGATGTAGATCACTCCTATTCATTCATTGTTGGGGACACAGAAAACGTACTATGTCCTTAACTATTTACAAACAGTCAGCTATCACTGACTGTTTGTACCTGTTCTCCATGCTGGATTTGCTGTCACAGGGGGCAGGCCAGTGTGGGAGGAAAGCTCGGCCTCCTGTGACATCAATGACAGCTGTCACCTCCCACACACCGCCGCTCTCTATCTTCATCTGACACAATAGGCTGAGCGCTGCGGGGAGGCCAGACGCTCACAGCGCTCTCCTCCTCCCGCACTGCTCAGCCTCCTGTGACAGTTTCCCTCCTCCCCGCTGAGACACAGAGCAGCGCCCAGTGGGGAGGAGAGAAACGATCGATGCACCAATATTTCGGCCCAAATTTTTACTTTCGGCATTTTGCCAAAAGTGACATTTTTCGGACGATATGTTTCGGCGGCTGAAAATGTGTTGCATCGCTACTAAACAGACTTATAGAGGCTACAGGGATGGCATGAAAGAGAGTTCTATTGCAGGAAACTTTAGCCTGGATTTATTTCAATTCTGACAGTTTGTGAATTTGGCCTAAAATTACAAAGGCAATAAAAAGATTTGAACTTTTTTACAATAGTTCAACGATTAAATGTGCCAAAATCTTAATCGTGTCTCCATGCTTTTGTCTGCCTGCAATTATCGTTTATTGGTAACATAATATATCACATACATCTTCCAGGGTCAACTTAAAGCATAACTCCAATAATGATGTGTGAACATTGCTCAGTTCTGGAGTACTATAAGTCCAGGCTTTGTGATGACCTACCCTCGAGGGATTGTGTAAGTGATAGGCTGGGCTCACAGGAAACATGCAGAATGACATGACTGTTGTTCTGCCTGAAGAGGACTTCTGGCGATAGACCAATCGGAGACAGCATTGGAGTGTGTACAGGGTAAACAAAACTTTGGGACTTAAACTAAAAAAAAATTGAAACTGGAGATTCACTTTAACAAAAGTTTAAAAGCAAGCGCCATTATTTTTCAGATACAGCAGCCCTAATCAGCATTAATATACAACATATGCTTTCAGCAGTGCACATCAAAATGTTAAAAAAATAAATGTGCTATAGATAACGCACAGTCAGAAAATTGTTATATGAAAGAAAGTATATTTTCTTTAGATGTGCAAGCTCCCTGCTAACCTCTCACAGGCAACTGCGACCTAGTCTACATATGTACATATAAAATGTTGCTAGGAATGCCTTCTTTGACACAAGTTAATTGGCCCTATCCAGTATAAGACGGTGCAGATTCTTATGTGCAATCAATCAAATTTCTGTCTCTGTATACAGACAGCCTTGTGCCTGCAACATTACAAGGAAATAGACAGAATTATTAAATGGCAGGGCACTTGATGATTCCAGTATACAGTGTATACATAAATGAGCTGAGGTGTTTCAAAATGTGCATTAAATATTTTAACAAACTATTTAACCTACAAGTCTGTCACTTGTCTGTGCCAGAAAATGAGAGCATGTAAAATAAAATCATGAATGCAGAAGCTCCATATAGACGAGTCCTCAGTTGGACTCTGAAAGCTAGTGCTTTAAGGGATATTTGCCAAACACCAATGTACTGCCTTATGACTTGTTCCCCTATGTATACCACTGTTTATTAAAAGTTCATGCATCTTGTCAGGTTTGACTTTGACTTTTAATACAAATCATTATGATTATGAGTCCTTCCCCAATGTCAACATGCTGTACAAGCCAGACATTATTCTATGAACTAATATAAAGGTGATTTTATGTACTCTGCTTCCAGACATGTTTACATACCTATATGACAATTGCATCACTGCACTAAGTGAAGCAATCAGTCGCCTGGCAACGCACGGGATCTATTTCTACGGAGTATATGTATTTTGTGTTACTTACCACCAAGATTCATGCCAGCCTGGAGACACTTCTGCAATCTGCATGCAGGACAGTTCTTCCTCCGAATCTTGTCAATAATGCAGTCGTTCCTTCCTGCACAGAGATAACTGTGCTGCCCTGGAAATACATAAGCAAGAATTATTTTCTATCTCAGTGGTTTCACATCTCAAGTGCATGCACTGCTTTGTAAATCTTCACTTCAAGATTAATAAGATTAAAAAAAGATGAGCCAGTCAAAACTGATGAGAAATGGGGAATTTAGTGACATCGAAACGAGAACTTGGACAGAATACAGGAAAATAGAGACAGTGATGGATACAATGCGGCGTATAGTGAAATATATATGCTTGAGAGACTGTAATTTAACAAAGAAGAATCATTTACATTTCATATAATGATGTCATTTACTGTGGAATCTTTTCAATTACCCTGTTTTTTTCCTTCTAACTCTGAGTAAACAGTCATAAAGCACATCTGAATTGCAGACATGCAGGGGTAAAACAAAAAAAGGACATTTGTACTTGCTATAAAATCTGTTTTTGGAGTTCATTAGGGACACAGAATCAGTGGTAATTCTGGGTTATACTGCCACCTTTTAACCTTTTTTGCAGTAAAAAGAATAGGCTTCTAAGAGTAAACCACACAGTGAAAACTAGAGATGTGCTAGAAACTGGCCACACTGAGAGAGTCACTGGTAAACACTGAAGTGTGCTCTGCGAACTTCAGCACCAGAGACAGAGCTTGAAAATGTAGGTTACATGTCATGCTGTCTTCCCCTTGCATTGGCTCGCTCACCAGGGAGCACAATCAGAACTCAGTGCCCTAAGGTCAAGCATTTAGCTCATCCAGACATTGGCTTAAAGAGCCCCTAGTCAGCAGCAAATATATGAAGTCTAAAAGGGTAAATGTTCATCGTCCTAGGACACTAGCCAAAAACTGAAGCATGCTTCAGGAGGGGTTATATCTGGTTGGTCAACGTTTTTTTTTGTTTGCCAGTGTTCAATTCATCCTAAAGGCATCAGTAAAACCCAACTGTCTCAGAATTACTATTGATCATGTGCCCTTTAATGTATGATACAAAAAAAAAGATTTAAAACCCTGTAGCAGAGCATCCCAGAGGGAGCCTGGGAAAGTCCTGTTCAGAGTTTATAGGTCTCCCATGTTCCTCTCCTATACATTTAGGGATTGCTGACCCGGGCTCCAGTGCAGGGTTTACGCCTGCCTCCACTGGCAATTTAATCTCACCTGGAACCTGTAGTCAGAGCTCTCGGCCTGGGGATCAGACAAGTCCTGTCTGAATGGGCTGCAAGGTTGGTGAAAACTAGCAAACTGTGTATGTGGAGGCTGACAAGCAGTAGGCCTGCTCAGCCTGTTAGTTAGGACCTATATTTATGAAGTTAGTGCCGGGGTACGGCTAGGTTTTATTGTTGTTAGTTTCTTGTGAACCACTGTACAGCACCTGTGAATGCTCTTGTAAATATCACCAATAAACACTGCACTTTTTGCCACTACTGGTAAAACAAAAAGGTTCTCTTTACTTGCTTTTCCTGTAAGTCCCACTGCAAATGGTAGCAAATCATACACAAGATTATCTCTCTCTATCCTTTCTGATTTAACACAAATCAAGAGAGTGATTCCGCCATGCCTAGCTAATAAAACATTATCAAGTACATCTCTGGTTAGACTATTTTTATTCATGGGATCGGTACTTGCTCTGACTCTAAGAAAAACTATGTAATGTTTTTTTAGTTAGATTGTAATTTTAAATCAAAGATTTTTATTGATTTTAACGTAACATGACACTTATGCTAAGACAGTGGAAACATGTGGTTACAACGTACAGCACGCAGTGCAAGGGAGTACATAAAGCGTTGGGATAGGCACAGCTCTAGAGTTAAACACAATAACAGTTATTGCTTGTGCAGTAGGCTCGCCCGTCGAGTTGTTCAAGTTAGTGACAGGTTCCACCCGAATACTGAGGGGCCTGGCAAACTGACAGGGTTAAACAGAGGGAGTTGTTCCTTTGCGAGGCACTGCATAACAGGACCGCTGTTCATGCTGTGAGAGAGCGCACTGAACCACTGCAAACGTCAACCATGAAAGATCGCGCCCAAGATAGATTGTAATTTTAAATGGAGACCGTTGTCATTTTTTACAATTTTCTTTGAATGCAGCCTGAACATGTTTAAACTGGGGAGAAGGAGCTTAATATCGAGTGTTTCAATCTCTCCTCATAATAAGTAACTAATTATAAAAATGGACCAAGCTGTGAGAGGTGGTGGGCGAATGGCACACACAATAGATTTGGCATCATAACTTTTATGAGCACTGCCCAGGTCTGTTTCCCAGCTTCCTGAACAAGTGGCAGAACCATAAAAAAAAGTTATGTAACTGGCAAGTGATGAGGCCTAAAAGTCAGATTGAAAGTAGAAAATCCATAAAGAGAAAAACTTTGACAAAGAATACAGACAGAATTAGTGATTTCTCTTTTATGTTAATTATACAAGGCTCATTAACAATTTTCAGTTGACAAATGACAGGTGTGTTCTTCACACTGCTGCTGACTTAACTATTTGAGGGCCATTATATTTTAAAGGAGAATTATGAGGCGAGTGATTTTCACTCAGCCTCATAATCTGAGCCGACCTGTGACAATGAAACTGTCACAGGTCGGCTCAGTAGATCAGGAAGTGAGCGAACGCATACCGTCGCTCGCTCACTTCTTGATCTATCCCTGCAGAGAGCCGTGACTGTCACTCACTGCTCTATTTGCTTTGCAGTTCAACACAATGATTGCACTCTACTGCTCCTTCTCACCTTTTTACAATGCAAGACTATGGGGTTGATTTACTAAAGGCGAAGAAGCTATTCAGTTTGCAAGAGAATTTACACTTTACATTTTCCCCTCAGCTTAGTGACTGAGGTAAAGCTCTGCTGACTTTTTTCAGTCAATGATGTGCAAACAAACATATTGTTTTCTTGATGTTCCTTGCACATGATTGGGCATGCTTTGCAAAGTGATTTTTCATCACATTCACCAAGCTAAGAGAAAATTCCCTGCCAGCACCACCTGGCTCAACAAACATCATTTGAAAAATCAAAGAAGCAAAGTGGAAAATTGTCGGCTTAACTGCAACTGCAGCCAATCAGATGCAGTTAGTGCTCAGTTGTTCTGACAGGTGCCGGCTGTCAGAATACAAAAGCTAGCAAGGGATATTCCTCCATTCACACTATTTAGCCTGGATGAGGCAAGCGAGCAGTTTCTTTCAGGCTAAACAAGAAAAAAACCGATATGTATGGCCACACTAACAATGCACTCAGTGTGGCTATCTCAACATTTGATAAACAGTAGTTCATTGAAGTGGCCTTGAAACACAGTGCTTCTGGAGGTCTTTAGTTTTAGGTCTTAATGGTCCATTCACACGACATCCAGATCATCTCCAGATCAAATTGTTTCAGGACCCAAAATGCATCCTAATATACCCCTATGCTATTTCTGGCCTCTGATCACACCAGCGCAGTCTGTACCAGACCAGAAAAATACTGCATGTCTCATTTTGTCTGTTATGCACTGGAAAGCATGGAAAGGCATAAACAATGCATACAAACACACTGGAACGCACCTGAAAGCCCATTTTAAGCTAAAAAAGCAACAACAAAAAAGCTCTGGCAAAATCATGGTAAAAACGCAATGCACCGCATTCCAGATCTGGTCCGGAAAATGGTTTGAAACCTGCCCTAAATGTGAACTGTTATAAAAGGCTTTTATTTATTGGGCTACTCAGATCTATGCTGAAATGTTAAGAGTTATCCCGACTGGAGAGGAACACAACACATGACTAGCACCAGGACAGAAACCAGAAGGAGGCTCAGTCTCCACAGCAAAGAGACAAGTTGCAGTGGGATCCTCAAAGATGGAGTGCAGCAAGAAACTTTGCTCCCCTCTTTAGACCTAAGTTACTGTTATAGTGAACAATGCAGGGATTCTCTCCTAAGTTAAAAAATGCAGAGAGGACAGGAAGCGGCAATAAGTATTTTATGCATAAAGTTTTGCACCCGGAAGTGAATGTCAAGATTGGGGTTCAATTTGTTTTATACTGATGTCACAATGTTTTAAATCCCATCACAACTACAGTATAGTACAGTCTACTTAACAGCAATGCTTATTTCAAAACAAAGTTGAAAGATAAATAGTTTAAAATAGTTTCAAGACCTAAAAAATGTACAATTAAATTGACCAAGAGTCATTATAGTGTTCCTTTAACCACTTGCCGTCCCACCAATTGTAAATAAACAGCCAGACGGGGTGTTTATAAACTTAATTTTCCACGTCCGCTTGACAAATTATAGCCTTTTATACATACAAGTGTTCAAGTGGCTATAGGGCTATAGGGCACGGGCACGGCGGGTCTCTGTGGCTGGAAGGGAGCGGAGATCGGCACATTCCACTGGCTGATTTCTCCGATCACTGAATGACAGTGATGTGAATTACATCACTTTAGCTTTCAGACTGCTTCATCAGCTTCTTTGGGGTCCTTAGGTGACAGAGTTCTAATAGACCCCTGATGTCTCCATAAAGAGGACCTGTCACTGTGTCTGTGCTATCACATAGGGGGCTTGTTAGTCCCCCATGTGTTAGCAATAAAGTTAAGTGTAAAAAAAATAAGTTTACAAATTAAAGACACATAAAAAACAAAAAAACTCCACAAAAAACTTTTTCTAAGTCCCCTTCAACATACAAAGTCTAACATGTGTCGGGTGCGCCTACGCGCAAAAACGACTATTGTGCCACACATGCTACATTTCGCCGAGAACGTCAGCATGCAAGTGATACGTCTAGGGCCAACAATCACTGTTAGCACTAAATTGATAAACCGTAAAAGCTTTGAAAGTTTTGCCTATTGACAATTTTGGGCGGGCACACGTAATTTTAAGGCTTGACATGTTTGGTGTCTATTTACCAGAGGTGACCCCATCTATTATATTTTACCAAAAAATTAGATGATGATAAATATTTCCTAATATAATGTAGGGAAAACAGGGTTTTTTTTCTCAAAATGTTCCATACTTTTTTCTTTGCATAACACAAAATATAAAACTGAATAGGGATTAAACAC